TGATTTGGAGAGAGAAAAAATTAAATTACAAAAATCGATTGAAAAACTGGGCAACAAAAGCCAAGATTATAAAATACAAAATGTTCACTTCTTAAAAATCCTGTTCCTGTTCTTTGAATGAAGAATGTGCAGATTTTGCAAGAAGAAAAAAACACTGAAGTTTTTATTAAACAAAATCAAAACGTCTTGAAAGACTTAAACGTACAATATATCGAAAATATCTATATTAATTAACGATTGACTTTATGTTATATTTTTTGTTTTCAAATTCTTACATTACATCCGGATGGGGGAGGAAGTAGCAGAGATAATCACTCCCATGATTCACCGCGAGCCTCGACATCATCTTTTGTTATTGTTTTGTTTGAGAGCCCCCTGATGGTGGAACATACACACTGCGCGTTTAAGTTCACAGTAATGACCCTTATTGAGGCTTTGAGAGACTTTAACTTTTTCGCAAACTACAGTAAATTTGCATTTTCTTGTATTTCATTAATTTCTTCTACTGGAATTGTGACATTTTCTTTTTAGAAAGGGCCTCTAAATTTGAATACGTCGCTTTTAGAAATCCTTTTAGATTAAAAATACTTTTTTCCTCTCTGCTTATGTAATTTCAAGGACTGAACTTAAATTAAATTCCAAAATTCATCTTTGACCCTCTCAAATCTCTGCAACAAACAGGTTATGGCACCCATCTGTCCTTCAACTTTTTGAGTGGAATTGAAGCCGTGAATGATTGTGCTCTGTTCCTCCCACAAATCTTCACTAAAGCTGCAAGTTATGAGCAAACAGCGGATGTCACCTTCAGTGTTGTAAATGAGTTCACAGCAAGATGAGGGTGGCCTTCTTTTTGGGGCATTCATTTCACAGCAAAGATTGCTTTTTTTGGTCAGGTTTAAAAATATCTACTGTTGAACCTACAAGCTAAAAAAAGCTCTTACAATGAAATGCGTGCTTATTTTAACATGTTTCGAGTTAGATGGCCACATTTACTCGTTTTGGAGCTGCTGATGACTTCAAAACAGTTGTACTTCAAATCCTAGGGATCTGTATTTTCTCCAAAAATAGCCCAAATCACATCTGATGCTGTTTGTTTGTGAGCGTAGACTTTCAAAGTAATCTTCCTTTAAATCTATTTAATCCCTCCCTGTGATACTCACTTGAAATTCTGACAAAGACGCTGGCAGAATTGTGGGTCAGAAAAGTTTATTTGAGCATAAAAAAGGATGCGCCTGGATTATAATACTAATGTGATGTTGTATTGATTTCTGAGGTGAAATCCTCTGGAGTCTGCTCCTCTACAGTCGAGGTCAAAGGTCAGCCTGAGTGTGAGGTGCTGGAGGTGGTGCAAGGTACTTGCAGAGCTTGAAACCAGATTTATATGGATGAATGAATGTCTCTTAACTGAGTCACTGCTCTGCAACTCTCTGCACAGATGTGAGGATGATTACAGCAGAGGTCTAGAGTGGATTAAAGACAATAGCTAGTTCAACATCATTGTTGTCTCAGATTTAAAAACCAATGTTCACATTTTGATCCGTTACATCATTGAGAAGTAGAAGTAATTCCAAAGAATGATTTTCAACCAACCATCATGCCTTTGGTAATCCCAAGAAGGCTCCTCTGACACCAGCAGTCACCAAACCCAGCAGCCAAAGTCACCGTTTTCTTCTGACATCAAACTCGGGTTGAGAAGCTGGGATGGATGAATGGATGGATGGATGGATGGATGGATGGATGGATGGATGGATGGATGGATGAATAGATGAATAGATGAATAGATGGATTAGACCATCTGATTTTTATTCAGGGCTGTTACCTATCCCAGCATGCACTGGAGGGAAAAACAGATGATCCATATTTATAGTCCTGTCCTCAAAGGGACAGAGAAAAAGGTCTACCCACCTGTTCTTTGACCAGAATTCCCCTTTAACTTCTGAGCCTCAACAGTTTGAGCTCCAAGAAATCGACCTGATTGCTCCAACGACATTTCTGCGCATAGAGAAATGTGTTGGAAGCAGAAATGAACTCATTCTTTACCAAGCTGGAGTCAGAAACAAAGCTGTTGCAATTATTTTCTAGCCGCGATAATTACTCTTGACTTTCAACTGTTTTTGTCCTTAAATTCACCATAATTACCGACATAAGCTTAATGATTTGGATCCGAGGCTTCCAGAGGGCCCGCAGGACTCAGCAAATGAGACCTTTTTATATCCTCAGACGTTAGCTTCAGTGGTTGATTTGTCGAGTCATGACAAGCTGAGGGTGAGTCACTTTATGATCCACTGTAAAAACTGCTGTTACATTTTTATTCTGACAAAGCATCAACTTAATGCAACTAATGTAAACAAATGTATATATGTTGTGTTTAGTCTGATTATTTCACCCTGAAGTCAAAGCAGCATTAAGGAATGTTATCTTTAATGTGAGTAAGTGAGTGAGTCACAGGGAGTAAAAGATCAGATGATGATCAGGACAAAGAGAAGATTAAAGGTCCAAACAGTAAGATATCTACTGACTGAAATGATAAAGTGACCTTACTATATGATCAGACATTAAGGAAACATGCTATGTTGTCTTTAAATTCTGGTCCTGAATGCTCTGGATTTGTTTGGACCAGAGAAGGTAGACAGTTTAAAGGCACCCCCCCGCCCATGGCTGTTTTGGACGCCCCCTCGGTTTGCCAGATATGAGAGCAGTTATCAAGTCAAACCAAGTTCAAGTCGAACTGGTTCAGATAGAAGTGATTGTACCCGACCTAAAAAGCCTCTGCATGTTTCTAATAAGCATAGTGACACTGAGCTCACTGCTGCACTGCAGGAGAAATGAGAGAAACGAGAAACTACTGTAAGCTCAAAACATCAGAGTTTAAATCTTACTGTAGATTGAAAGATTTTTTTTCTGCTCTTTTTAGATTTAAAATGTGCATTCTTCTCCTCACTTCTAGGCAGCTCAAACAGCTTAAGTAATAATTAAATTAATGGTCTGCTTTGTCAATTATTAAAAAAATAAATAAATGTGACTTTAACAAAGCAGCAGAATTTTTAGATCTTTGGTTGTCTCATCTTTGACTCTAAAGAAAGATTAAATTCAGGATCTCGTTCACTTGAAAACATTATTAGTCATGTTTAAAGCTAGAAATAGATCATTACCCGAAAATGTACATTAGTTGTTTGTGTTTACATCTAATGATGAGGATCATAGACGGAGATTGAATTGAAATAAATCAAATATGAAATGAAATAGTGATGATTGGTCACTGCCTGCAGTTAAGCGGTTTGAATCCTGCCCACCCTTGACCTTGCTCATACATCATCTCTCTTTCCCTTTCCCTCCACACGAGTCTGTCCACTAAAGCAGAGAAATGTGCAGTGCAGTGTCCAGGGAAAGCTATTAATATTACCCATTCATTGCACACATACACAAAGCGCTGAGAACAACACAATACATCTCTCCTGTATTTCCTTCCTTCTGATATGTCCTCCTCTCTACTGGAGTTTGACAAGAAATAAAGACAATGAAGTTCAATTGCCAAATTTCAAGCATTTCCACAATTCATTTAGCAAAGTGATGAACATCAGAGTCAGACAGTTTCTTTAAATATCTGCTGCAGAAATGAGTTCTATGAGAGCTGCTGTGAAATCAATCTGACTGCCTTACTAGATTTGTACATTAATGACGCCATCGAATCGTGTCTGGAGGCGATATGATGGGGCTGGATTGTTTACAGCAGGGGGTGATAATTTTTAATTCACCAATAACAAGCTGAAATAACATTGCTAGATAAAAAGAGAGTTTCAAGTGTGATCATGAATGTACACGCTAAAGGCAAAATTATTTCCCTATGTTATACTCTCAGGGTCACACTTAAGAATGAGACACGTGCATGCCAACTGCAGCTAATCTTAGCTAGAGTTAAACCATAGATGAAGCATGAGTGACGTCACCCATCTATACTGCAGGGGGCTTTGGAGTCCCATCGATGGCGGTCTCCATGCTGGAAATGCTGTCTCAGCCTAACTTTCAGTCAACCTTACGACAGGCTGAGAGCTGGAGCTGAGGCGGGTTTTAATCCTATTGACAAGATGTTACATCACGCCCACCTGTCAATCAGGTCAGCTAGCCATTTTATTGTGAATAACTCTTATCCCAAAAAATTCACCCCCTGTACAGTGTGTGCGGATCGAGAGGTGAGCTAATGAACCAATTAGATTTTTTAAACCAGGCTGTAAACATGTTAATTTCTGCTGTAAAAACAGGTTTTTTTGAATGTGTGTATGTGACTTCCGGTGCTTCTGCAGCCAGCCTCTAGTGGACAATCGACGAACTGCAGGATTAAATACACTTCTGCATCAGCCTCATTTTACTACTTGGGAGATTGCCACATGAGATAAACAGAACATGACAAAAGCAGCTTACTTTCAGTTTATGACACTTACTTTAAGTATTACCTCGGTCTTCTTCTTCACCGACTTCTTCATCTTTGTCCTCCGTGTTTGGCTTTACAATATGTCATATAGCTTTAGCATTCCTCTGTTGCCCTCTTTCCTGTGTTATCAATAACAAAAGATACGGTCCATAATCAGGGGATCAGATAATTTCACCAATTACAGTCCACACTTGTAGAAACTTGTTGTCCAGCATTACACAATAAGACCTAAATTTAGGACATCATTAGAGTATTTAGGTTTTTTCTTCTTGTTGAAATAGCCTAGAGGGTAAAAAAAGATCCGTAAATCTTCATAACCGTCTTTATGGGACGTCATTGTACATTTACACAAGTCAATACATATAGAATAATCAATAATTAAGTTTAAGGTTGTGTTATAGGCCTATTTAATATTAACCCTTTAGTATTCCTCCAATACGCACATCAGGGATGATGTCTTCATTAATGAGACTCCACGGATTTCACTCCACTGTGACGGAAGACTGATTGGATGAAGCTGGGAGCTGCCTGTAGGTAACTGTCATAGCTCTATCACATTTGTGTGTGTGTGTGTGTGTGTGTGTGTGTGTGTGTGTGCGTGCGTGCGTGTGTGTGTTCGTGTGTGCCTGATTGCGCGCCACCTCTCCATCAGTGCGTGTGCACGAGGGTCCGCAAAGCCGCTGCTGCAGAAGCATTCAACAAACTTTGATGAGCTCTTACCTAAACCGAGCTAACAAAAACAAACCCGGATTAAAACTGGACTAACACATTTTTTTTTAATATAATTTAAAAAGGTTTAATTCGGCTGGATCAAGGTGAGTAAACCTGCCATCGGTTAGAAGTGTTTGCAGTGCGCGTTGTTCGGAGAGGCTTGAGCTGATTTATTTTCGACAAATGTTTTGCATGATCTACAAGTGGCTACAGAAACGAATTTAAGTTTTAAAGGATGTCATTGTCATATTTTTTCATCGTCATCACATTTTAAGTGGTCTTTCACGTGCGTTTTTTTCAGGCTCGATGTAACCTTATTTCCTCACATCGCATAACTGATTACAATGTTTTCTTTTCATTTATTCGCTTTCAATTCATAGACTCTTATTTTGAAGCCGTATTTCTGCCCACCACATAAACAGGTGTCACAATGGAAAGCACCCCGGTTGAAATATTCAAAGAAGATAACAGTAAGTGCCTCTCCACGCTGCTGGACGACTGCGCAGTGAATTCTTCAGGCTGGGTGTCCGGATACTCGGAGAACCGCAATCTGACCCACGATGACAGCTGGGAGCAGGAGGGCATGTCTCCCATCATCCCCATCATCACCGCAGTCTACTCCGTGGTGTTTGTGGTCGGCTTGCTGGGCAATTGCCTCGTCATGTATGTGATCATCAGGTAAAGTCTGATTTTAAGTCAAACATCACAATTCAGATCAAGGTGGTTAAGTATAGAAATATACAACATGGAGATTTAATGTAAAAAACAAACAAACTGCGGTATGAACGTTATAGAAGGGGAATTAACTTCAAAATCTGACAGGAAAGAACAAGTCAAGTGAGGGGGACCCACTCCCAGTGATGCATATGCCACAATTATTTTAGCACATAGGCTACATCCATTTATCCACAATCCCTGTAAATGTTTTTTTAGGGCATTTAGCTTCCATGTGACCCTTTGCTTTATTATCATATTTCCAGTATGTTGTACTATGACGCTCATTACAAAGTGAGATGGGAAAGTTCTCTAAAACATCTTAAGAGCTCATACGAGGTCATCTTGTTAAGAGATAGGATACTATCTGATTATGCATGAATTCTTCTTTCTGAAAATCACAGGGACCCGACTGGAGTTGCATTATGACAAAGAAAGAGTTGAGATTAATGTTGAACTTTCTAATATGTGGCAATATGTATTGCTCCTGCCTCCTTGAGAAGTGGCTGGAACCTTTGAAGTGTCCACTCTTTTAATCTAATAACCCTCAAGACCTCCAAAATATAATAGCAATACTCTGAGAATCCCTGCTAAGCTGGCGGGCGTGATATTAATCATAGCTGAAAGCAGCGGTGCTTTATCAAGCTGATAGCCTGCTTGCACCTCATTGGCCGTTATTTATGGTGTGCAAGAGCTTCAAATCTTCTTTGATATAATGTGAAATGCAACAGTGTCAACCACAAAGCTTCAGTCCACAGACAACAATTACCTCAAATCAGGTTGATTGCCTCGCCTGTCGGTAACAGCCAATTTTATCACGTCGGTTCCACCGCAGACGTTGAGTTTTATTGTTTTCCCTCGAGGGCAATATAACTAAAGTAAAAGGGGTTTTTATGTTGATTTAAAGTAAACTAAGACCTGAAATTACACACATCCAAGAACTTGCGAAGTGAAAACCAACCACATGAATTCCAGTAACTGAGCTGTTACTGGAAGTGCCTGGCATGTTGGAACACCTTGTGTGGCTTTAAATGGGAAAGGTCTCCTCTCTTCTAATGGCCCTCATCGTTGTTCTTTGACTGTTTTCAACTAAAAAGATTCAGGATACAACATCTGTGTGCTGCCTGCTCAACGCTTAACAAAAGACGGATCAGTTGGCAAAAGTTAAATTCAATTCAAAGTTAAAGCAAGCAGCCAGTTAGCTGAAAACCAAACTGTGATTTCTTTGACTCTTTTTGATCCAGTAGATGTCGCCCTTGAGCATGAAACCAAAACAAACTGCTGTTTGGCCACACCTCCGCTATTCTGAAGCCTCTGCTCACCTCCTCCAACCCCTCTCCAGTCACGTTTACACGAAGGAGTTATGAATTAGAACGCACCATAATTAAGCACAAGCCGCAGACAAAATTGTCCTTTCTTCAAGCTGCAATTAGCTGTGTCTTGCATTGTTGTGTTAGCAGGCTAATGTTAGCGCTCTTTAGTTCGTAGCTCGTAGCTTCATATTGAACATAAATAGACACAGAATGGCCGAGATCTAAAAACTCTTACATGAAATCCAAACAAGCAGTGAGTATGTTCTTCTTTTCTCTAGTCCGTGACTAAAACAGCTTTTATAGGCAAGGACGTAAACATGATGTAAACACAGCGCTGACAACAACACAGCTGGTGGGACTCGAGCTTCTCACTCATTGTAGACAGTTTCCAGTTTTAAAGCTGCACTAACTATCTAAAGGCCTTAGCTTTATATCTACCTTACAGCTTGAGAGTAGTGTTTATCTTCCTCTCTAACTATTGTCAGGAAATCTGAACAACAACTTTCACAAGATGTGGAACCTTTTTATTTATTTTATTCAAAATACAACATGTAATCAGCTCCAGTCAGAGTCGTAAATGCACTTTTAATGTCAAGAGACGACAAAAAAATTCTGCCTGGTGCAGCTCATTAAGTTATCCGTGTGACCTGGTTATGACTTTGTTGGTGTTTTTAAAACAAACATGCTCATAATAGCAAACCTCCAGTGAGCCATGACAACATGGCTCAGTCACCATGAGTCAAAGAGGTAATTCTGGAATATTGTGTTTTGATTTGGATTCTTCATTTCATACCGTAGGCGTCACCGCTGGTAAAAAAACATTAAAACTTTAAATTAAACTTGAAGAATGAACTTTGCAGAAGTCATTGGATACCGCTTCAGTGTTATTATAATTTAATGAAGTGAAACCGAGTTGATTATACATGTCCTGCAAACGGATGCATGCCATACATAACAATGAAGAGTGAGTCAGAACATTACATTAGGGATTCAAGAAGCACGGTGGACTAGTCGATGTTTAATTCATAATGAGCCAATAAAGAGTCAGCCGAGCGATATATGATGGCCATGGCAGAATGGACGGATGTTTGGCTCTGGTTTAACTTTGTGCTCTGCATGTTTTAAAGGTACACAAAGATGAAGACGGCCACCAACATTTACATTTTCAACTTAGCGCTCGCCGACGCCCTCGTCACCACCACCATGCCCTTCCAGAGCACCGACTACCTGCTGAACACATGGCCCTTCGGTGAGGTAGTTTGCAAGGTCTTCATCGCCATCGACTACTACAACATGTTCACCAGCATCTTCACTCTCACCATGATGAGCGTGGATCGATACGTGGCCGTGTGCCATCCGGTTAAAGCCCTGGACTTCCGCACCCCGATCAAAGCCAAGATGATCAATGTGTGCATCTGGATTCTGTCCTCGGCAGCAGGGATCCCTGCTTTCGTTCTGGGTGGCACCCAAACCAAGAGCGGTGAGGAATTCATTTTCCTCCCTTTTGCTGAATAAAGATGAAAGTTTTTTAACATATTTTGTACATTTCTTACATTCACTTAAAGCTTGTGCTCTAAAAGCAGTAATTCATATTCAATCAAGTCCATCTGACAGTGCAGGGTTTTCCATTAACCACACATCAAGCATTTGCTTCAGGAATATAGATGATGGATAAAAAAAAAAGCAATTTAAAGCAAAACAGTTTGCTTCTGAGTGCAGATAAGCGGCTCCCTAGCAGCTCGCTAAATTGAAGCAGAATGAAAATGGCACAGAGGAGAATTTTTATTTATCATAAAAGCACTTCATCACTTAATTCAGATTCTCTCCTTTGCCTCTGCAGAAATAACCGAGTGTGCCTTACAGTTCCCCGAGCCGTACGTGTACTGGGACACGCTGATGAAGATATGTGTGTTCGTCTTCGCCTTCGTCGTGCCTGTCCTCATCATCACCGTGTGCTACTCCCTCATGGTCCTGAGGCTGAAGAGCGTCCGGATGTTGTCCGGCTCGAGGGAAAAAGACCGTAACCTGCGCCGGATCACGCGGCTGGTGGTGGTTGTGGTGGCCGTGTTTGTGGTCTGCTGGACGCCCATTCACATCTTCATCCTGGTGAAGGCGCTAGTGAGCGTGCCCGAAACCACCGCCGTCATGGCCGCCTACTTCTTCTGTGTGGCACTGGGCTACACAAACAGCAGCCTCAACCCCGTCCTCTACGCATTCTTGGACGAGAACTTCAAGCGCTGCTTCAAAGACTTCTGCGTCTCGGCCAAACTGAAGAGTGAGAAGATGTCAGGGAACAGGAAGGCGGCCGGCGGTGTGAGAGAGAACGCCGTGCCCCTGGAGAACCACGATGGGACTAGAAAACCTGCATGACTAGCAGTGGAACTGTCATCAATTTCACACATTGGAAAAGAGGACTCGCATGACCTGGGCCTGACCCATGTCACATCCACGATGTAGTCTGGACTCTGTTACAGAGACTGGATGTGTTTTCATTTACATTTTCCAACACTGAGCTGACGTCATTTAGGCGATTACATGAAAGTGACACGTACTAAGTTGTGTATGTTTTTCTCACCTCTTGTTTCCGAACCTGTTTTCACGTTCAGGTGTTTATTTCCTCATGGTTACTGCTATGTAAGCTGTTATCATTTTGAATGTGAAGTTTAGGAGAATTTGTTTTAAGCAGCACGTAAAAACAAATGTGATCAACGTTAGCCTTTTTAAACCGCAGGTCACGTCTACCTGTTCACACACTGATGGCAGAAGCTGCTGTGTAAAGTGTCCATCAGAAGTAACTAATCCAGTCATACACATTCACACACCGAGGACGAAGCAGCGGGAGCAACTTGGGGTTAAATGTCTTACCAAAGGACACATCGGACATGTAGCTGCAGGAGCTGGGGATCGGACCCCTGACCTACTGGTTGAGAGACTATCTACTCTAACATTGAGCCACAGCCGCCCCATAGTCGAGCTTTTTCTAGTGGTTTCCAACCTTTTTTGTCTCATGACCCCACTTTGACTTCACAAAACTCTGGGGACCCCTTCAGCTCATTGATTAAATTCTAATTATTTTTTTCAATCATGTGACAGTTTTTTTTTCTAGTGTTTTAAAATTCATTTCAGATCACATTAAGGCCATTTCGTGTATTTTATTGTGGACAGAGTTAGAAAAAGCCAGGATGAGTGAGGAATTTATTTTTCTCTGCGCTGCATATGTACAGCCAGGTGAGCATGTATGAAAGCTGGACGCATGACGCCTGGATGAGAGACAGACAGATGTACTGCAAGTTTGTTTGTTTTTAGCACGGGCCACGGCTCACGTTAGCCCGTGCTAAAACAGGAAGGAAACTACAAATATGTTTTTATTGATCAGTAATAAGACATTTCATGGGACCCCATTTGAATACCATGTGACCCCAAGGTTGGGAAAACCTGCATTAGAGGCAAAGACAGTAATTTGCTAACACTTTTTTATCAGTAAAACTGTTGAGTTGAGATGAAATTTGTAACAGTATAGACTTGTGTTAACTTTCAAACAGTATACTTGTTACATCATTGTTGTAATGCTCATTTAATTTAATTCCTGTCTTTTCCACACATTACTGCCAAATGTGCCTTTAACAGTCCAGGATAACAAGTCTGAATGGGGTAAAGCGGCGCTAAATGCATAATGTTCAACCAATGCTGTAAACACGTTGACACATTTAGAAACACTGTCAGCAGAGATGTGGAAAAAAATCCTTTTTCCTCTCTGTGAAGGTTTGAAGTGTGCTGATTGACGATGTGAAAGAAGTGACTCATGTAGTACTCGAAGTCAACGAGGGATAAAGAAAAAAAAAACATCAGCTTACCCACAAATGCATCAAAGAGAGTTTATCACTTTTGAAAGTTAAAGAAGAGATCCAGGACTTGATTGTGCATTTACTATTTGACAGAGGGCTCTCTTTCAGCTTTGACTCTGGAGTTGTGTACAGTTTGATAAGTTGTTCAAGCATGGCTGTGTATAGCTTTTACCACGATGCACACTGTCCTAATGAATCAGCGCATTATGAAAACAGTCCTTCCACCCAGGTAATGCACGTTAAAAAATGTTTATTCTATCATTTGTACAGTTTGAAAGTATGACACTGAAATACCTTTGCACAGACATCATTGAATCAGACTGTATTAGCATGTCAGTGATCATTGCTGTATTAGTGTAATGCAACATCTGCAGCCTATATGCTTCATGGACTGTGCTGTTATTTTTGAATGTACTTCAGAGTCTGTATTATAAAACACATTATGTATAAACTCATCTCTCTCACTCAAGAAGAAGCTCATCTTTCAGTGATTCAGTTATAAAAAAGCCTTTTCGCAATCACTTATGTCTGATGAGGGGAGCGTGGGTTTGGGTAAACCGTCTTGTTAATAAATCTCATCATGAGTACTGACATAAATATTTATTTTGCACAGTAGTTCTGTTTATTAGTTGGAAGATTAGAGACATTATCATACAAATCATCTCATTGCTATCTGTTGAAATCTGCTGCTGCTGCTGCTGTATAGTTGCTTTTCTGCTGTTTATTGAACAGGAGATGTATTGATTTGAACACCCTGAGTGTGGTAGTGAATATTAAAGTCTGACAAATCTCAGTTGAACCTTTTCTCTCTCTTCTTCTTGTTGGCGTGGATTTGAGTTTACGATTCTGCTTGCATCACACTTTTAAATATTTTACTCAAAAGGGAGCCCACACACAGTGATTTATGTGAGTCACACTTTGATGAAGAACAAGCTGTGTTTGGTTATTTATGCACAAAGACGAGTGTTGGGAGCATATAGGCAGTAAATATTGGGTTGGGCAGTTCAAAGTCCCTGCAGAGGCAGCTTTTGTTTTATAGTACGCCAGCAGCTCCCTCTACAGGAAACAAACTGTAAATACAAGGAAGCATGTGGTTAAAAAAAAATGAATCTCACCATGTTCAGTAGGTGCATGCACATTGGAATTAGAAGAGGGTTACCTGCAGAAACTGGTTCCAAAGTGGGGCTGTGAATAAAACCAAAGTGATTAACTGATATATGAGCTTAAAGAAAGCAATGTGTAAATAAGTCCTTAAGATGTAAGTTTGCATATGACAGTAACAACAATCTGTTCCTAATAAAAACACACAAACAGACACACACAGACACACATACATCACCTGTGTGTGTGTTTATGTTCACTTGGTGCTACAAACATGGAGGATACTTATTCTGCTTCCCGCCTTTCTCACAATAAAGTACAAAAATATAATGCTGTTGATTTTGTATGTGTTTGAAAGGGCTTGTTTGTGTGTGTACTGGTCTGTACACAATATGATTTAAACACCTGCAGAGGCAGTGTGTGTACTTATGAGTGTGTGTGTGTATTTTTTTTTTTTTACTTTTCTTTTCATACTTAATCTTCTCTGTGGTCGTTAACAGATTGTTTTAGTGATTTCAATGCTTCTGTTTCCCTTTGTCATGATGCTTTGATTTGCCTTGTACTGTAGTGCGCTATAGGCTAGAAATAGGAATTTGCCTTGCCGTTTTGTAAATTAAAAAAAACGCAAACATTTAAAGATATATATCATAAACATGTTGGCTTTTAAAGTAAAGCACACAAATAAGTACAGTGATGTGCAAAGAAGAAGAAGAAAACAATTAAATCATTAAGTAAAATGGAAAAAAACAACTCGGACCACTTTGTAGGGCGTGGTGGAGTGACGTGTGATCACGTGTCTTCTCTGACGTCAGCCTAGAAAGTCTCTTCCGGGTTGTTTTCCTCAGACTGGACGGTGGACAAGAAAGTTTACTCCGCTTTTTTGAAGTTTGAAGCTTTATTTCTTTACCAACATGAATCGCATCTTTGGCAGCGGGAAGCCCAAAGCCCCGCCGCCGAATCTGACGGACTGTATCGGAACGTGAGTGAAACAACAACCTTTATGAACGATGTCTTAAAACAAAGTAAACAAAGATGGACCCCTTCTTTACTCGCTTAGGAAACTTTTATGAGCAGGGAACAGCTCGTTGCCTTGTTGTCATAATATTCCCAATGGTTTCAAGATTATAATTTATGATTATTGACATATTGGTGAATTGAATAATCGTCCATCTGGGTGTTTTAACCCAACACACTGAATCTTTAATATCAGACAGAAAATAAGCATAACAACATACTGGTCTGTTTCAGTAATGAGTCAACATAATCTAATTTTAAGTTTAAATTTGAGTGATTTCTGTCACATACGACAGAAACTATGTAACTGTGAAAGATGTCAACCAGTTAAACAGGTTTTGTGTCTGGGCAGATTTATTTTTAGTTAACTGAGTGAAGGAAGAAATGTTTAAAAGTGACATTTAACATTTACCACTAATGAAAATCTAAGAAGAGCCTACTACAAAAATCATAAATTATTCTCCACTCACTCAGATAAATGTTTAAAGGACGAATATTCTCCTCGTCTTCAAACAGTTTAAATAAGTCTCAGAGCTCCTTAAAACATGTCTGTAAAGTTTCTTGTTCTAAATCCATATCCTTTGATTTGTAAGGCACACGTTAAGATGATGAATTGTTTCTGTTTTTTTTCTTAAAGGTTGATTCTCGGTCAGAGTCCATTGACAAGAAGATTGCCCGACTAGATGCTGAACTTGTGAAATACAAAGATCAGATGAAGAAGATGAGAGACGGGCCTTCGAAGGTGAGGTTATTGGTCTGATTTGTATGGTTAGCAAAAGAGGGGATTACTCCTTCCATTAAAAACCTTAAGAGATCTAACAGCAAAGTTTTAAATACGTCTAAGAGCTCCCCCCCCCAAAAAAAACATGTCTATTTAAGCCCTGCTCAGAACAGGCTGTTTCTGTGTCTGTACCTTTAAATATGTAAATGAGCTGTGTCTGACCACGCCCCCTCTCTGGAAGGGCTCGGGTGGCTCTGACTTTCTCGCTCCATGTCCTATTGTTTAGGGTGAGAAGGCAGACTCAGAGGGCAGAACAAACACCTCGCTGTGGGAGTGTCACCCACCTGGGGGAGGGGTTACTGCCCTTTGTGATGTCATGAAGGGAAAATCTACAAACGGCCTGTTTGAGCACACATTTTCTGAAAAGTGGAGCTGGTAAAAGACGGAGGATGGACTTTTTTCATCATTGGGGGGTTTGTAGACAGACTAGGACACGAGTGTTAGAGGAACATGGTGAAATTGATTTTGAATGACATGTGACCTTTAATGCACAAACGCTGATAGGAACAAAGTTTAAAATGCTGATGAGTGTAAACAATTCTTACGTAAGAGCAGCACGTTTGTGAGTTTGTAGTCATCTTGCACACGATTCAGCATACAGATCTTCTCATTATAAAAATATGGTATCCTTCACAATCATGAGCTACATATATTATGTTGTTCACTTCATCTTGGTCATCACTTTGTGAACTTGTCTTTGTTTTGTTTTTTGACTAGAACATGGTGAAGCAGAAGGCTATGAGAGTTCTCAAGCAGAAGAGAATGTGAGTCATTTCATTTCCTACAGTCAGATTTTCTTCATGGTGTCAAATTAGCCCTAATGTTTGAGCTTTATTCCTCCTTTAATCTAACAGGTATGAAAGCCAGAGAGACAATCTCATGCAGCAGTCATTCAACATGGAACAAGCCAACTACACAATCCAGTCCCTTAAAGACACTAAAACCACGGTAAGAGACTTCTCCTAATGGTGTTTTTTTTTTTTTTACGCCCGGAGAGATAACAGCAAAAATGTGACTAATATTTTGTTTTTCTTTTTAGGTTGATGCCATGAAAATCGGCCTCAAAGACATGAAGAAAGCGTATAAGAACGTGAAAATTGATAAGATCGAGGTAAGGTTTTTTTTTTTTAATCAGAGTTGCCAGAATGTCATAACCAAGATGGTTGAGTAATTCCTGTAATTTAAAAGATATTATTGTGGACTCTATGTTAAAGGAGCAACATGTAACTCTGACGCCTAGTGTTTAAAAGTGGTACTGCAGTCTAGAGAAAACAACAACATCGCCTTCTCACTGCTTATTCGCTGTAGGAGAGCAGAGGTGTCGTTAAACAGCAGTTTGTTTTGGTTTAATGCTGGTGCTCAAGGGCGACGTCTACTGGATCAAAAGCTGCACATTCTTCCTTTTAACAGAAATGTTATTCCAATATACGTATATAATGTGTTTAGAGGCGAACTTCTGATTTTGCTAAACATGTACTTTAAACTGAAACTTTATTTTAATCCAGAACATACAAGACCAGCTGGAGGACATGATGGAAGATGCTGATGAGATCCAGGAGGCTATGGGAAGAAGCTATGGCACTCCTGAAATCGATGACGCCGACCTGGAAGCGGGTCAGTAAAAATCTTCTATTCCAGGATGTGTAGCCTCTCTCCTAAGCCCCATTTGTTCAGTACTTGTAAAGGGTTGTGTGACCTAGTTTGAAATATCCTCACAGCACCTCTGTGATTAGTGAAACATGGTCGAGAATTTGCAGAATAGTGACAAATCACTCAAAGTTCCCCCTTGTCTCTTTTGGTCACGTGACGCTGAACTGTCATTTCCACAGAGCTGGATGCGTTGGGAGACGAGTTCCTAATGGATGACGACAGCTCCTACCTGGACGAGGCTTCGTCGGCTCCTTCTATCCCAGAGGGACTACCGGGCGAGAAGTCCAACAGGGTACAACTTCTAACATGTATCAATTCAATGTTTCTGATGTGTTCACTTTTTATTAATGGGCTGTGATCTTCTTTGTTGTGTTTCAGGATGGCGTTCTGGTGGATGAGTTTGGCCTTCCTCAGATTCCCGCTACATAAAACGGCCATCAGCACACTGGACGTGCTAGTTTTACATGTTTCATCGCCTTTCTTTTCTATTTATCCAACTGACACACCCAGCGTTTAAAACCTAAGCATCTTCTCTCATAGGAATGATTAAAACTAAGAATTAAAGGTCTTTAATGATTAAGTGAGCTCAAGTCGCGTATATCTCAGGTGACTTTGGGAATCGGGGTTATTCTTAACTTTGTACATTTTCTGCAGCGCTCAGTTGTCAAGAACAAATAAATTATATTTTTCAAACAGTACTTCCAGACTTGACTGAAGTCATTTAAAGCCATTGTATATATAAAAAAGTTACTTTATTGTCAAGTGAAAGAGCATAATCAATAACTTCAAAATACTAATTTAGTATCACCTGTTACTAGAAAAATAAATAAGATTTCTTCAGATGAGAAATGGCTCAGCAGAAGAAAGGTGGCACATTCATTTTCATCATCACCAGCTCAGCCTGTAAGTGTGAGGGAAGATTTTCTGATGCAGATAATCCACTGCGCTGCTCTTGCTTTGCAGCGCATCAAATTCATAGTAGGGAATCTGGAAAAAGAAGACAAAATCACAGAAGTTAATCAAAACAGAAGATTGTATAAACACAAGAACGAACAGCTGAGTGTTAAAGGTGATATGTGAAAAATCAACTTGTTTCTCTAACACTAATATGTGTCTCTAGTCTGTCTACAAATCCCCCAATGATGAGAAAATTCCATCCTCTCTGTCTTTTGCCTGCTCCTCTTATCAGAAAATGTGTTATAAAACAGGCCGTTTGGAGATTTTCAGTTGAGGGAGGGCAGTAACCCCTCCCCCAGGTGGGTGACACTCCCACAGCTAGGTGTTTGTTCTGCCCTCTGAGTCTGCCTTCTCACCGTAAACAATAGGACAGGGAGCGAGAAAGACCGAGGCTGTATCCGAATTGCCAAGTATCTGCTCAATCTGTCAGTAGTCAGTACCTACTATCTGTGCTGTATACTGTTTAGTACCTACTATTCAGTATGCACGCACAGTAGGCAGATATTTGTTCCTACTTCATCTGATTCATTCAGTAAGAAAGTGGTGTCATTAAGTTCCCTGAACCGGCCGCATTCGCCCGTTTTTTTTTGTTTTTTTTGTTTAGTTTTATTCAAGAAGAGTAATGTGCATATACAGACAGGTAACAAAAAACAATATCACAATGTAAAAGACAGATTAAATAACTAAATAACATACAGTACATAAAGGAAGGTATAAGATGCATTTAAATAGGGAATTCATTATTTAAATAGGGAAAAGGGGGAATGGTTTTATAATAATGTATACATTTGTTACATTTTTTGTTGTTAACTAAAAGTAGAGATTTCAGTCGGGACTTTAAATTAAGATTAAATTACTCCACGCTCGTTTGTTTTGATTTGGAGGCGCACTTGAAGTGACGATTTACGTTTAATTTCGCACAGCATTGTGGGTGGTAATATACAATTAATTTCCTGAAAGCACGCATCCGATCCATACTGCATGAAACCCTGAAGTTAGTATCCATACTGAAATGTTCAGTATACTGAGGTGGACCCAAAAAAATGCATACTGAATGACCACGAGAGTTCAGTATACTGAAACTCCCTACTGAATAGTACGTACTGCATACTGAACTGTGGCTATTCGGAAAGGGCCCAAGACACCGAAGCCCTTCCAGAGAGGGGCGTGGTCAAACACAGCTCATTTACATTTAAAGGTACAGACACAGAAACAGCCTGTTCTGATCAGGGCTGAAATAGAGGGGTTTATAGGCATGATCAAATACAGGATCAGAGTGGATTTAGAACAGGAAACTTCACAGACATGTTTTGGGGCTCTGAGACTTATTGAAACTGGTTGAAGAGGAGGAGAATATGTGACCTTTAAGCATAAAGTGAAGACAAGGGTCTAACCTGGACAACTTCATATCCCAGAAGCCTCAGATGTCGCTGCTTAATGGCCTCTTTTCCAAGTAGTTGTCTCTTGTTGGTAGTGAATCTCTTGTGTCCATCAATACAAAGCGCAATCCTGCAGCACACACAGAGCACAGTGTGTTTACTCTGAACGACAGAATATAACTTTCAGTACATAAAGAATAAAAAAACAGGGACCTATTTACCTTTTGTATACATCCTCACTTTGCCTGGCAGGCAGCACATATCCCTCTTTGTCCAGTTTTATCTCCACGTCTACAAAAGAATAAAGCGTTAAACCCTTTGTGTACAGTCTGTAGAAAATACTGAGAATATTAACAGCTGCTGCGTTTATGTTACCGAGTGTGTAGCAGTACGGTGTCAGAACTTTGGATCCAAAGTATACACGATCCCCGAGCAAATCCACAAGTCTCTTTCTTACAGCGTTGTACAGATGCATGTCGACCAGCGTCTCCAGAGAGTGTGCAGACCTGAAGGACTTCACACGGTACTTTGGGAGGAGTCTGGGACCCTGAGGAGAGACATAATGTGTAAACGATCAGGAAGAAATCACAGCACAATACGGCTGCTGTTTTGAATTCTTGCGTTACAACTAAACGAAACCTTCAACTTGGAACATCGACCAAACAAGATAAATCAGGAAAAGCTACAGGAGGAGTCAGAATGTAAAGGTTAGTTCTAGATATTTCACCTCATAGAAAGGACACTCCAGCTTCAGGGTTATGTAGAGCTGGGTCAGCTGTGCCAGGACGACTTGGTCCATTCCTGTGCCCTGATCTGGAACGACACAATGCATTTCATTTTTATCTTTGAAGCACAATAAGACAGTAGTGAAACAGTCACCACCAAACTACCAGGTTGTAAATGTGGGATTAAAGTGTTACCTTGCAGTTGCTGGAGGAAGTAGCTGCTGAAAACCTTGGCCACAAAGTTCACAGGGAACCTCTCCACCAGGGTGCAGGAGTGCAGCAGGTTGAGCAGCGTTCGAGGCTGGAAGTGTGAAAAGCGTGAGTGCAGGATGTTCTCCACTTTCCTGAATACATCGCCGGCGTTTGGCGGGAGGTAGCCGAGCTTTCCCAGAGCCACGATCTGCGTCGCCACCTGTCTGGTGCTGTAGTCGTCCGCCCGGTAGACAAAACTCTCCGCAATTGCGTCCATCACAATCGGGGAGAGAATATTCCTCCGGCCAAAGAACTCGCTCACTTTGGTAACCGTCTCGGGGTGGGAGGTGAAGACAATTGAGGGTACACGCCTCTCCATCGCCTCAACGAAGAAATGATCATTGTGACCAAAGTGCATGAGTGCACCAAGGACAACAGTGAGCTCCTCATCACTGAAGTGAGGTACATGCAGAACGGCCTGTTTGTAAAGATTGATCATGAGAGGAATGGCCTGTGTCTGATTCAGGGTCACGAGAGCGCTGAGCAGCCCGCTGACAGCAGCTGGATCCATGTGGGAGTAGACTGTCACGGCGTGCACGTGCATGGCATTCAGCAAGTCCCTGTATTTTCCATTTTCAGCCACACCACCTTGCAAAAGTCTATAAACGGCGACGAGATCGGCTATGTTCCACTGGGAAGGTTTCTCCTTCTGGATTTGCGCCATCACCTGCCGCAGCATCACACAGCCAGGCCCCTTCATAGCCAGCATCGCCCGACCTAGAGTGCACAGCTGCCCTACACTCATCTCCCCTCTGTCTAACCTCTCCTGGCTCTCTGACACCAGTCGCACCATCAGCGTGCTCCAAGGATCCAAGAAGAGGCGCGTGCAAGCCCAGAGAGCCGACACCACCCCTGCATCAGTCAGCCACCGGGAGTCCTGCTCCAACTGGAAGCACAGAGCTCTGATTGTGTCATTTTCTAGCACCGAAGGATCCTTAAGTGAGTTTCCAAGCTGCTCCAGGTCCGCAACACGGTGAAGTGCTGCTGCAGCCATGGTGTCAGACATGAGCTCCACTGAGCGCAGCAGTGAGAACACCTGCCGGGATGAGGAGCAGGTCGCCAGGCGGTTCTGAAAAGACTCCTCCTCCGCATCCGCGGGTCTGTGGAGCTGAGTCAGACGGAAGCGAGGCCCCGAGTCTCTGTGGATTCCAACGGAGCTAGAAGCGACGAAGGACGGCTCCCTGATGATGGTGGTGGTCAGGCTCCTTCTCCCGCAGTCCTCCTGGAGCTTGCGGCAGCCCTGTGTCCGGATGCAGCCGCCCGCTGAGGTGAATAAGCAGGCCACGCATTCGGGCCGACCCACCCTGCTGGAGCCCTGGAGCCTGGAGGGGCAGACAGCTCCAACAAGGGGGTAACGCTGAAACCCGAACTGCCCGAGCACCGGAAACCTCTGGATCAGCTTCAGAGCCATGACCCCGCACCAGGAAGCTGGAAAAACAAACAATGAATACATAACAACAGGTAAGAGGTTTCCTGAATGTCACAACCGAGTAAACAACACAAATTAAGTCTGAGAACAAAACTACCAGCATTGACAGTACTCAGTCCCCTTGTTATGCAGGGAAATACGTCCCTGTCAAGAACTGCATGCACCTCAAGGCAGATCTGGAGGAAGATTTGTGATGGAAAAGTATTTGAAGTTTACACTTAATAAAGTTAAGTGCGTAAATATGACCTGCAAACAGTGTTAGATTCTGAAGTGTCTGCAGAGTAAATGTATGTAATGTATGAAAAATGCGCCAGTAAAGTGTTTTAAGGTAGCTCAACCATATTTTTGTATTGTCCTGTGAGGTGCATGCAATTCTCGACAGGCACGCATTTGTCTTCCCCCTGTTGAACAACCAACCTTGAGGTTAGCCACATTAGCAGCTAACGCCATCACAGTCAGCCCAGAAGAGTCGCACAGCTCTGATAAGGATGTTTTAAGGCTGAAGCTTCAGTTCACAGTGACGGATAAACAATAATCAACAACATGGAGGTGTTTTGAATTCATACCTGGGCTTTCCGATAACAGAAAACAGTCACAGATTCACCGCTGTCAGAGGAGGTGCCGTCCTAAACGTGGCCCCCTGACGGATCTTGACGCGTTCAAATGCGCCTCGTAAATCGGCACTCCCATAGTTGAAGAACATTTTCTCGTCCCCAAATTTTTATAGAATATATAGAATAGAATAGAATTACTTTATTGATCCCAAACTGGGAAATTGTGGCGTTACAGCAGCAGGTTATCCAACACCTGAGTAAAAACAATGTTAGCAAATCTAAACATAATATAATATTAAATACAAAGTAAATAAGCACTAAAAATATCAAAAATAAGAATGTGAATATATACAACCAGGATTTAACTAAGAATTACTAGTCTTAAATAGGAAGATTAAATATATTATTATTATTATTATTATAATATATATATATTAAATATATTATTAAGCTGTATCGCAGATACTCTTATACCTGTGTGTAAAATATTAATTCTGCCCTTCTATTGTAGCATCTGAACAGCACATCGTATTGTTTACACCAAGATTAACTGAAATGTCACAGAACAGTCAACTTTAACCCCAACCACCTTAATACTTACAGTCTATGACAATGACCACCACCTCACCTTACCGATTCCTTTTTTTACAACCTGTCGATTCGACTTCAGGAATCGTCTTTTTATCGATAGCATTTGAAGGCATCACCGACACCATGCAGTGCTTCAGGTAGACACCAGAGGGCGATATGACATATGTAACTCAAATACAGTAGATCAAGGTTTACTTGAGGTCATATGGCTTGTTATCGCGTTGGTATATACTGTGTTTTCTGTTAACCTGGAACAATTTTTCATTCCACCACTTACTCATCATGAATTAATTTTTTATGTAACTGTAAAACCACAAGTCTGTTAAATATTCCAACTTATCTTCGTCATCAACTACAGTCTCTAAAGAGAAAACACCGCTGAACCACAGGCTGCCCTCAGGATTCAGATTCCTCATCCAGTGACGGAGCCAGACTTTTTTTGGCTGGGATTGCAAACTACCTCTGTGGGTGGCTGGAAGTGTTCAGTGTGCTCACAAACACAATGTTTGGTGGAGATAGAAAAGGTAAATAAGTGCTATTTACATCTACTTTCAATACTTACATTAAAGTATTAATAAATGTTATATGATTGTGTATATCTTATCAATAGTGAAACCCTTTTTGATTAACTATTTAAGTACTGAAAAATAAAATGTGTCTCCAGTCACCGTCTGAAGTAGGAAAAAACAATATTTCAACAACAGTCCCGCCTCTGACGAGGCAAAAAGCCACTTCCAGGATTTTTGGGTGGCCACTACAGGATGGCCAATCAGTTTTCTAGGTTGGTCCTGTCCACCCCTTGGCTCCGCCCCTGTGACCTCCTCAGTAGATTTGGTGGAAGTTTAATAATGATTGTACTTTAAATGATTATTGTGCTTTCCGTGACTCAATCTTGTATTTTTCTTTGGCTTGCTCACACATTTTTTAAAGATATAAATTCCTTAAACCAGATGGTTAAATGGTCCAGTCCAGTGATGAGTCACAGCTCTACAGCATCCTCATGTTTGCTCGACAGTTGCAGCAGATAGCTACCTCTATCTTATTCAATAACAATGATAATCCCTTTTGGATTGAGGTTTTAAGTCTCAAGGTGCGGATCAAAACTTATATGTAATCGCTGCCTGAGGATCTCAGACCAGCATCTCCTTTTAAATCTGTTTAACTTATTTGGATCAAGGCTTCCTTACTGTCTCTTTATGTCTTGTTTTATTGCCACATTGTTTTTTACCTTTTACTTGCATATTGCCCCTCTCCTAATTTAAGATACCTATACACTCATTTCTGTTAGAGCAGGACGTCCTCTTTATGAAGACACTCCCTTCTTCGACAGTAAGGAATCAGCATTATCTGACAGAGTTGATGTATGTTCATTCTTGACTGAGAGAATTCAGCTAGTACAAGTCGGCACACGTCTAATGTCTTTGCTTAGGAGGCAGAGTGGACTTGCCAAGACTTGAGGAAGAGTGGTGTCTGAGCATTTAAAATATGCCTCGGAACAAAATAAAGACAGAATAATGCATCATGTACTTCAGTTGTCATTTATGGAAAGGGGAACATTCAGCAAAGTACAACTTGATAGAGGGCTTTATTTAAAAAGTTTATATTATAAAATGTAAAAATTCAGCTAAACCCGATCACATGAATTGCAAAGACTTATCCCTCAGAGCTTCCAAGGTGCTGCCAGCTCCTTCACATGACAGAAAAAAACAGTTTACAACCTAGAACACTTTTTTCCTCCTCATTAGAGATGTGTACATTGGCATAAAACTGGAAGTTCCCAACAAACAGGAGTGGATAGTTATTGCTTTGGTTTGTTTAAAATGGGGTTTATACTGGAGAGTTGAGACATGCAGCACGGTGATCTAGCTGACTGAGGACGAGACGGAGAGGACCGAGGGGGGAAAATACGCTGGCATGGATCTTTAATCGTCTTTTTCCTTGGCACCGTGCTTTAGGATGCGAGTGAACTCCACGTAGTTGAAGTTGCTCTTCTTGTCGATGGGGGCCTCCCTGAAGAGCTCGTCCACCTCGTCGTCTGTAAATCGGTCGCCCATTGTTGTGAGCAGCTCCCTGAGGTAATCGTCTGGGATGAAACCTGAGGGGGAAAACATTCAGATCAGATAAGAGGGCTAGAGATGGCTTGAACAACATCGGAATCCTCTCCTCATGAGGGTTTACTATCCAAGAGACGCCTTTTTATGAACCAACCTTTCAAGGCAAGACAACTTTATTTAAAAGCAATAAAATGTATACATAGCTGCAATTCTTGTGTTAAAATTATGAGAAAAGTACAAGACAAAGAAAAAAATTTACAGTAGAAAAAAGTTATCTTAACAAGAGTCCCTTGCTACTGTTATTTTGATTGACCCTCGAGAGTAAAACAACGTCTCTGATGTAAGTCGCTTTGGATAAAAGAGTCTGTTTAGTGAATTGTAGATATGTAGAGCAACCTTTGTTTCTATCAACAGGAAAGAAAGCTTACCTGTCCCCTCCTCATCAAAGCAAGCAAAGGCATTTCGGATCACATCCTCAGGGTCTGTTCCATTGAGCTTCTCTCCAAACATGGTGAGGAACATGGTGAAGTTAATGGGTCCAGGAGCTTCCATCATCATGGCCTCCAGGTACTCATCAGTTGGATTTTTCCCTTTATAAAGAGAAACAGGTATGTTGCATTTAAAAGAAGCACACGCGAAATTCACAGCTGATTAACATTTAAAATGTTTACTCGTAGAACTAGTTTTCAAACAATGCAGGAGGCGGAGCACACCCAAAACTACAGAAAAGGTTCTTCCCTATTGTTGCATTCAGCTCATCCAGAAGTAAAACACAGAGACTCTCTTACTCACCCAGTGAGGCCAGCATGTCATGCAGGTCCTCTTTGTCCACGAACCCATCACGGTTCTGGTCAATCATGTTGAAAGCCTCCTTGAACTCCTGAATCTGAGACTGGTCAAACATGGCGAAGACATTGGAAGTAGCGCGCTGAGGGCGCTTCTTCGTGGTCTTTGACTTCGCTCTTTTGCTCGACATTTTGACTGTTTTGTTTTCCTGTGGAAAGTAAAGTGTCAGTATACTACACTAATAAATCCCGCAAAAAGTTTTAGTCACAATCAGGGACTCATTCTATTAACATGAGTGAAAACAACATTTCAGTGGGGGGGGGGGGGGTATCCTTCCCAAAGCTAGAGATAGAACCATCTTCTAATGGTAGCAAATAGACAAAACATCGGCCTGATAAGACGACCAGAGGATGACACCCAGGGAAACAATCTGACCAAAGGTTAAGCGTATCATGCTGCTACTCAAAATAAGATTTCATCATTCGTACCCACAACTCGGTGTCAGGCGTTTTAATTCTCTGGCAGTGATTCCTCAGAGAGGTGTCCCTCACTGAGCTATAAATGGAGATGTTCCTCATCTTTCTAGGTTGTTCAGCTCACTGCTTTCACTAAGGGTAGGAAACTCACTGATGTGAGGACAGATGCCCTTATGAGGCAATGCCTTTGAACGTAGACTGATACATTCATCACATCCTACCTTGACAGATAATCATGTTCAGCCGCTGGGTGTCCACAGGCACAGTTTGGTCTTTTATTCAAACTTTGAATAATATGACCTGGCTAGATATCATTCAGGTTCATGACGGTAGTTTTAAAGGCTCCCTATTGTTAAAAAAGGAAACTCATTTATAAACACTTAGGAAGGTGTCCTGAAAAATATAATTTAACAATAATGATAACTAAAGGGTTGTTTCTGTGACTGCTGTGGTTGAAGCAGCTCTGCATTTCAACATTTACCATTTTGAGTATAGAAAGATACTTTATTGATCCGACAGAAATTCAAAGCATCCAGTAGCAGGTTGCAAAGACGTACATGACATGAAACATTTGTTACAAATTAAACCGCAAAACCGACGTCCCCATCCCAACCCGAAAAAAGATTTAAAGAATACCCCTAGATGAAACAAACTTGTAAAAAGTAAAATAACATTTAATTAAGTTTCAATTACCATCCCACCATCATTAAAACAATTTAGTCTTAAGATTAAACATTACTGTGTTTTGTACACAGGTTAGCCTAAATGTTTAATTTTATATTTTGGCCACAGAAGTAAATCACCACTTCCTCATAAAACTGGATACATTTATATAACTTATATATATATATATATATATATTTTCATGTATTGCTTTTTTTTTCTCAAAGTGTTAAAATGTTAAAAGTGTTTAAGATCACTAAATTGTGATTTGCTGTAAAATAAATGATTAATCAAGGTTATTAATCGCGATTTTTAATATCGTACCAAAAATAATCGTTTTTATGATTTGACCCAACCAGGCAGCCGTAGTTTAATCAGATGTTAATTATATAATTATTCCAATAAATAAAACCTAACGTTATGGCACCTTTAGCATTATCTGGTACATTTAAGTTAATCAAATAAAAAAGGTGAAACCAAAAGATAAATTATTTTAAACCATTTCTTGTTTTCACGTCCGACGCAGTTTGAGTTCGCTCTCTTCACGGACTGCGGCCTTGTTTTAATCACATCAGAACTATTAATGTGCAGACAGCTAACGTTTGCAACTGATACACATCGAAACGTCACATGAACAGGTTTAAAAAAAAAGCTTAATGCACAAGTTTATACTACCTGCATTAAAACCAAATGGTTTGAAAACTAGGTTAGCTTCTGAGCCATTAGCAGCGCAGCTAACACTGAGCCGTGTTTTCAAAGCAACGAACCGGACATTAAAAATCAGCACAGATATCTTCTACTTAGATACACGTCTTTAACAGTGTGGCATCCTTACAATGAAGTGAGTATTACTTAGCAACATAGGCAGGTAGAAACATACAATTAAATCGTTTTCTTACCTGACAACAACACGATACTTGTCAATTAGCCCTGCGCTTCGCTTGTACTCAACCACCGCCCTTCACTTCCTGATGCTGGGTTCAGTGAAGACAGCTCGGGGCAAACCAACTGAGGGAAACAGAGGGGGGTAGTGGTCGAGTCCAAAACCCTTATTGATCGCTTTATAATCTATGAAAATGCCGTTTTACTCCGAATAAACACATTGGACATTTTAACATGGCTTTTTATTTTTTAAGACTTGAGTATTTTTTTTTTCCATTCGCAATTCAAACTCTTGAATTCGGACACCCCTCAGCTGGAAAAAATACAAGTTCCACAAACACTCCCTTGCCAGCGTTGGCATTCCTGGATATGCCCTTTTAAGGAAAGAAAGGATACAACGTCCATTACATTGTGCAATTAGGTTTTAAATGATCCCAGTAGGGGTACAAAGACCCTGTTATCACCAATAAGGCACATATATCAGGAGTGATTAAGTATTACATGTCTAAGTTGATTGCTTATGCTAAAAACAAACTTAAATAACAGTTTTCACCTCAATGTTTCTGATTGAAATGATAATTCCAGTTAGGGTTAAATGTCTCAGCTTTTGTTTTTATTGTATGAGGGTGCATTGGAGAAATAACTTCCCAGGCACATGAACTCTGCATTCTCTATGCTGTGTTGTTGCATTTGTTTTGGCATGTTTATGTTTTCTGAAAAGAGAGCTTCAAGACTTTCTCCATGCTGAAATAAAGTAAAATAAAGCAAAAATAATGTAAAGGTCACATACTATAATAACCTAAACAATAAAGATAAAAATGTAGATGGGATGGATAATTATAGATACTGACAGTCCAGTGATGATGGGGCAACAGTTGGTCCCCCGCTCGTTACTGTAAAGGGAGGCTTACAGGCCGCAGGGCTTCAAAAGCAAAATATGGAACCGTTGACTCATCGGTTAAAAGAAGCCACATCTGTCTTTTGTGTTCAGTTGAGATCACCATGAGACGCTCATAGTTATGCTATCAAATATGTAGCCAGACAAGTCGGCTATCTAAAGTTGATAGTCCTAAAATGACATGATTGTTGTAAATGATGCATACAAGAAGATGAATACTTCAAAACATACAGTGTGTAGGTCAGTGACGGTCTTCTGGTGTAACAAAAGAGCTTTGAAAAAATAACTCATTGCTAATTAATATAGAGTATCATTAAAGAAAAAGGCAGATAGCACATAAACATGCATGGATACTATGGAAACTTTTTATTCAAAAGACTATTTTTCAGGTAGTATCATCGATCTCTTTCTTTTTATTCAGGAAAGATTAAAGGTGACATCATTTTTAGAATACATCGTAGTGTCGTTTTTAACCACTAGAGGATGCTATAGCTTTATAGAAAACAGATCATTATTCTAAGCAATACGTGGGCCTTAACAGATTAGGGAAAATCTAACCCAATACTTTGTGTAAGGTTTTGAAACGTGTTCGTGTCTAGAACTGTTATAGCCTCAAACAGATTGAGCCTCACAGAGTGAAATCCTAAACATAGCCTGAATAAATCCCACGGGACATCCCATACAGTTGGAATTTCCTGGACAGCTGAACACAGTGACATGCTGCTTACATGAAAATGATGAATTGCAACCATGTTCAGTTGGACAATCAAGCTCCCATACAGCATGTGTGGGATAGACAAATATTACCTCTTAAGTAATGTAACTCCATCACTATCTTTACCCAGAAAATGACCATAGAGCTTCCTCCTAATCTTTAATATCTTAACAAACCTGAACTTTAGGGCTCCACAGTTGCAGTTTGAACACTATAAACCCATCATAGAGTCACTATAAGGTGATAAACGTAACTGTTGTAATAGTCAAGCACTAAACAGATTCACAGTTTTATAACCCATAATTCTCTTTAAATATCACAGGGGTACAATGGGATGAAGTCATTAGGGGCTGTTCTCATGTTTCAGGTAAAATATGCACTTGAGCTGAGATTTAAGGAAGATACTTTTCTCCAGGAGCTTTAAGTTACAGCTGTTTGTTAATTGGAGATTATATTCATATCAGAGTAAAGCCCAGACTGTGTGGGATAAAAGCTTTGGATGGACCGTGTGCTATTCATGGACATGAAGTTATATCCAGTTATCCCAAAGGTTGCCATGACTTTGGGTTTGTGATCGGGTAGTGTCAAGACCTGAGCGATAGGCCACAAGTTTCATCGTGTTTCCTTGTGTTCCCCGCTCCCCTTGTGTTTCTTGTTGTCTCTCTGTGTTTGTCTCTGGGTGTGGCCATCCTCAGTTCTCCTCACCACTACCTCCTGATTGCTTCAGCCAGCTCACCTGTCTCTCATCATCTGTGAGAGAAGATAAATTAGTTTCTTGTGTTCAGCCGACTAATCTGTTTTTCCTTCTTCTCAGGATCAGCAGTCATCAACCTGCCAGCTTCTGCTCACCAGACTCTGCATTATCATCCAGCCACTCTCCACCTCTCCACCTCCAATTCTTCAACTCAAAATTATCATCTTACTTGCACATAGCTCTGTATATATATATTTATTTCTCGTTTACTGCACATAGTTCTGTTTACATCTGGTCACTACTGCACATAGTTATGGTCACATCTGTTTACATCTGTTAGTCCGATCACTGTCCACTTATATCTACTTTTTTATATTTTGTATTTTTAAGTTAAGTTTAAGCTTGAAGTTGTATTTAAATTGACACTTTATATTTAGGTTAAGATGTTTCGTCTACCTGCACTGTTGTTGATTTACTGCTCTATGTGCCTTTGAATTGCCCCCCGGGGAAAAATAAAGTTTTTTTTTAATTGAATTGAATTGAATTGAATTGAATTGAATCTGCAACTTGAAACATTAAAACACTTCGACTGATACACTGCCCCTTGTGTTCTGCATTTCTTTGGGTCAAAGAAACACTAAACTGCCATTGCCATAACAGGTCATCCTTTCTGTCTTTTGCCTGCTCCACTTTTCTTAAAATTTGTGCTCAAACTGACTGAAGTGCAAAATCCTGCAGTTCGTCCAGTGTCCACTTGGATCTGGCTGCAGAAGCACCAGAAGTCACATACACACCCATTCAAAATAGCCTGTTTTCAGAGCAGACATTAACATGTTAACAGCATTCATATTCAGGACATATTTACAATAAGGTGTGTAGCTGACGAGGATGATGTAACGGTTTGTCAGGAGGCTTAAAACCCGCCTCAGCTCTCGACCTGTCGTTAGGTTGACTGAAAGTTAGGTTGAGACAGCATTTCCAGCATGGAGACCGCCATCGATGGGACTCCAAAGCCCCCTGCAGGAGCAGATGGGGGACGTCACTCAGGCTTCATCCAGTACTATTTACAGTCTATGATATATGTACAAGGATTTTTGGAACATTTTGACAAGCTAGCTGTTTCTCTTGATTATAGTTTCGTCAACTCTGCAGCAACTGTTTGTTGCTAGCTGCTCATATAACTGCAGCTCTCTGATCATTAGCTAGTGAGTTAGCTATTCTGCCTTTCAGGTGATCCTTGCAGATCAGGGCAGCCATGTTGGCAAAGGATTTAGAGGCTTGTGACATATTGTATTACACTTGTAAAATCCATCTCACAGTTATTAGACAGCATGTAGTGTTGTGACCCTGCTTACTGTCTTGTATTGTCATCCTCAGTGTTGATCTCTTTTAATGGGTTTATACTTCACGTTGCTGCCATAATATTTGTTGCCATGCTGACTGTAGCGCCGTGTGGGACGGTGGATGGCGAGGGCCAAAAAGGATGGATGTTCAGCTTCAGAGGTGTTCACTGACATGCCATAAATTCACTTTAACCGGGGTGTCCCGTCTATTTACGATATCTTTTTATCAATGCATTGTTAGTCATGAGTTTGCATCAGGAGTTTGTTTTTGTGTCAACATAGTCCAAGCATAGCACTAAAGTGGGACCTTAAAACTCTGCCAATAGAGTCTGCGTCTTTAATTTATTTGACTTGAGTAGCTGTTTATGGCCAGAGGTGACAACATGTGACATTTGTGTGTACTTCCAAATGAGTGAAAGCGAAAGAGAGAGAGAGAGAGAGTGACAAAGAGACAGTAACTGGCATGTGTCGTACGTGAAGCTAGCAACAATAGCAAAGCTAAAGTTAGCAACAGTCATAGCTGAGATTGCTGCGGTGAAAAGTCAAGACTAAAGCAGCTGGATATTAAGCAGCAATGATGTATACTGTTGGCTCAGGGCCAGCTAGACCTTTATGTTTGTACACCATCACTTTTGGGTGTCACTGAGTCCTCACAAAAAGTTGGACAATGAGTGCTTTTGCAACTGTGATCCTATTGTAGAGTAAATAAAATGGAAATAAAGACAAATCGTAAACAGTCAGTCAGTGACGGTAAAATGTATTTTAATTCACTCATAAATAAAGAACAAATACAGAGACTTACAGCATGAATTAAATTGATCAAGGAGGTAAAATAACTTTAAAAAATGGAAATGAAATGTGGACAAAATTCCAGAAGCCAGTGTTTACCTGCGTGCATCAGGCAGTAATGCACGTCCACAGAGACCTGCACCCATAAATGTGTTGGGCCCCCACGCTATGCCCTCAGCTATATTTATCTCCACCCTCACCATAAAAGGCTGCGACTGCTGCAGGGACACTCTGGCAAGGGCCAACATTATTTTTGTTGTGTAGACCGCAGCCCTGTATGCACCTACCTGTAGGTTTGCTGGGATATCAACTTTAAGTGTGGACTTTGAACCAACTTTTCCTTCAAAGCTCGGAGTTTGAGGCTTTCAGTCCAGGGTGAGTGGTAAACCGTTGTGTGGAGACAAAAAAATGTGATAAGCCAGCTGTTGCTCATGTCCGTGTTAGCATGCTGAGAAAGTGCCTGATTGCCTGAATCCTGGCTAATGTTGCAGGTTTTAATTTCTATGTCTTGTTGAGGTAATTCATTAAATTGAGGAAATGTTATGAAGTATGGACTTGTATTGGCACCATGGTGATACATATTTTTCTGAATAATGTGATTTTGTTTTTTCCATCTTGAGCTGGATTAATCGTCCATGTTCAGCTGTAGAGAACATGAGGAAATAAAATCAAAGC